TGTTGTTACTCACATTAGCTCATTCATTTTTGTTGCTGAGTAGTATTTCATTTTTGGATGTACCACAATTTGTTTAGCTATTCACCAGACGATGAGCATGTGGCTTGGTTCCAGTTTTGGGCTGTTACAAAGAAAGCTGCTATGAACACTGCATGCATGTCTTCACATGGACATGTGTTTCATTTCTCTTGGCTAAATATCTCAGAGTTATATGGTAAGTTGCTTACCATATAACCATAAATATGGTTATTGCTGAGTTATATGGTAAGTGTGTGCTTAACATTATAAGCACCTTCCAAACGATGTTCCAAAGTGGCTGTACCACTTTGCATTCCCACCAACAGTGTGTGCGAGTTCCAGCTGCTCCACGTTCTCACTAGCACTTGGCATTGTCAGTCTTTTTAATCTCAGCCATCCTAGTAGGTGTGTCACGGTATCTTATTGTGGTTTTAATTTGCATTTCTCTAGTGATTAATGATGTTGAACATCTTTACATATGCTTATTGGCCATGTGTATGAGCTCTTCTGTAAAGTATCTCTCAAAACTTTTGCCCAATTTTAATTAGTTTTGTCTTTCCCATAGACTGTGAGCTCCTTGAGAACAGGACTCTCAGGGCCCCCTCAATGCCCAACTTCTGGGGGCACCATTACTGAAGAGCACATTGTGAGTAGCGTCATGGGACTGCTCAATCGTTTATCCCTCAGCCAGCCAGTACCCCTGGCCCCAATAGGATCCCACATGCAACCCCATTTTTAAAATAGGCAAAAGACTTAAATAGATATTTCTCCAAAGATGACATACAATCAACCAATAAGCACAAAAAAAAAGTACTCAACATCATTGGTCATCAGGGAAACGCAAATTAAATGAGCTGCCCTATAACCCAGCAATTCCATGACTTGGTATTTATTTACCCAAAAGAAATGAAAACATATGTCTACAAAAAGCCTTGTCCAAGAATGTTCATTGCAGCTTTATTCACAACAACCAAAAACTGGAAATAAGCTCAGGTTTTCATCATATAAACTAACTGTGGTGTACCCATACAATGGAATGCTATTAAGCAATAAAAAGAAACAAAATACTGAATCTCAAAAACTTCACGCTGAGGGAAAAAAGCCACACATGAAAGAATTATATGATGCTCTACAGAAGGCAAAACTAATGGATGGTGACAGAACTAGGGGTTGCTCAGAGTGAGGGGCAGGGATTGGGTGGGAAGGGGCAAGAAAGAACTTTCTGGGTCATGAAAAAGTCCTCTACACTGTTAGGGGTGCAGGTCACACGGGTGGTCAAATTGTCCACTTAAGGTCTGTGCCTTTCACTGGATGTAAATTACACCTCAAAAAAACTGTCTTTAGGCAGCTGCTGAAATACAAACCAGCTGGCCTAGTTATCCTTCTGTCCTCAAAGTTTTCATAATAAAGATCCAACAGCTTCCCATTCCTCAAAAGAGCCTTGGTCACAGACCTCCAGCACCCCCAGCCCTGCCCCGGCCTCAGTGCTCACCTCGTCACACAGAGCACACCTGTGGGGGTGTCACATCTGTGCCTCTGCACCACCGCCCCCTCTGCGGGGTACCTCTGCTCACCCTGCAAATTCCAGCTTAGGCACCTCTCCTTCAGGAAGCCCTCCTGAATCCCTGGACTGGGCTAAGCACACCCCTCTGAAGCCCTCAATTCTCAGGGCTTACTTCCACCACAGCGCCTGGCACCTTCTCCCTGGAGTAGTTGGTTTTCCACTGCTAAGACTGTATGAGATCCTCAAGAGGAAACAGCATGTCATAGTCAACTTCGCATCTCTAGCTCCCAGCACTAAGTTTGGCACAAACGTTTGGGTGAACTGGGGAATCTGCTTGGTAGTAAAAAAGAGAGAAAAGAGAGGAAGGAAGGAAAAGTCCTAAGGGGCAGAGAAGTGGTGTCGGCCCCTGGGGAAGAGGCCCACTGACAGAGATACAAAGGGAATATCTGACACAAAGAAGGAAGCCAGTGAGGGCCCTACACGGAGCCTTGGGGCTGCAGTTACCAGGCCCTCCAGCATGCCAGCACATCCAAGACCCTCAGTTTCCAGAACGCTGCTCCCAAACCCTCCTGCTCCTTGGCTCCAGGTGTCATGGCTGAGTTGGTCCCCCCATTCCCCTGGAACCCCAGCAAGACCAGAGGCTGCCTCTGAAGCCCGGTCCCTACCCTGCCCATCCTGCCTCAGCCCAGACCCAGTCTGGGGCACAAAGGTGCCAGATTCCAGGGTTCAATGGTTTACAGCTCCATTTGCTACATGATTTAAAAGAACACAGAAAAGTCTGTTACCCAATTTAAAATCTCTGTTTTTCTATTAATATGCCAAGCATAATCTTTTTATAAGCAAACAATTATCTATATATTGCATATATTCCTTGGGAAAAAAAGAGAGGCAACTTCAAACCTGTAATAAATGTTTAATATGTCTATTTGCTTCACTCTCAGATAACTTTTTTTTTCTTTTAAAAATTAATCACTCTATCCCACCTTTCCATCCACAAATGTTTTCAAGAAGCGAGTAGATGACAATGTAGTGAGCTATACAGTGGAGAGACTGGGTCCAGGTAGGGATGGGAGAAATAACAGTGTAATCAGCACCCACTGTGCACCACACCCTGAGAAGGGGGCAGGATTATGCCTCCTTTTGCAGATGGAGGGACTAGAGTTCCAAGAGTCCTGACTTCCCTCAGGTCAGGAATCCGGTGAGGGCAGATCTCTGGACACAGAGCCCCTGTTCTTTCTGCCCTCCCAACTGTTCCAGCTCTTAAAGTTGACACCTGCCCTTGAGAACTTTCAATGACAGTGAAAGTTTAACAGGATAAACAGCTGAGAACAGAGAGAAAACTTCACTCCAGGCTAAATCCCTTCTCCATAATTAAATCAGCCCATCTTGACGAGGAGGTTTTCAGAGGCGGCATGCACAGAACTACCTATAAAAGGAAATGCAATTAAGGCGAGTCTTTTTAATATGTCTAACTCTGGACTGCCCTTGCCCTAGGCAGAAACTAAATTCTACTTAGGGACAGCTGTCTTTGAAAAGTTGTTATGTAAATTATAAGGTAGGAGGAGAAAAGAAACAGAAATCATTTTCCGAGGTAAATGAGAAACCGGTTGAGAAAGGAACGATGAGGTAGTAAATCGCCAATCTCCAATTTACAGCAACAGTTACCACCTAAAAGCTGGACCTCACAGACCACACGCAACTCCATCTTGTTAGTTATTGGGCTGCCTCTTCTAAATTAGCCCAGCAGCCAAACAAAACAGGAAACTCTTCAGAAATTAGCTGACCACAAGCTGACAGTAACACAGTTAAAAATATAACCTTTTCTGATTTATGACAGCTGGAAATTGAAGGAAACTACAGCAAATGCCCACGTTTCTTTTTAAAAACTGTCAAGCAAACTCCAGGAGAGCAGAGGTGGGCAGTTCATTCTGGGTACCAGCAGCAGAAGGACTTGGGAGAAGGAAGGCACCGAATCAAGAAGTCATCGTTTTAAGAAAGCATGCCAACGTCACTGGGGGATCCCGACCCACCCCTCTGGCTGGGGGTCCGCTCCCTCACTCCACCACACACACGCCCAAATCTGACACCAGAGCGGGATGAGGGCCGGACCAAGGCTGGAACTGCTTTTTGCCCCTGCCTGGCACGCAGGGCACCACGCAAAGCCAAGAAAGGTGCCCCTGGGGGTTGGGGAGTGGCACCAGACAGCCAGCAAACAAGCTCCTGGAGACACTCACCAATGCTGCTTCAGCAGGAATTGGCGGGCTCAGAAGACCAGGCTGGAAGGGGCAGTTGTGGAGGGCAAGCACCCGTGACATAAGTTTCTACTTCCACAAGGTCACTGGGCTCCGCGAGGAACCAGACCGTTAAGGGGCAGGAGGTGACCGGTGAGCTCACTCACTTTTCACTCAGTAAACACATATGGGCACTCATGTGCGCCAAGCACTCACCTAGGGGTGGAAATACCAGCCAGGCAGGCACGCGGGAGCTGAGACTTCACCCCCGGGTGGAGGAAGTTGATTTGTAAAGCCTCAGCTCCGCCATGTTAAAACTGTACGAAGCTGACCTATCTGAACTTTTGTTCCTCCTCGGTAAATGACACACGAATTAGAGCTGTGGGCAGAACAGGGCAGCGAAGGGCGTGAGGTCAGCGCCCGCGTGCGGAAGCTACTGGTAACCACAGATGAAGGACCCCCTGGACCAGGTGTGAAGTGGAAGGTCCATCACCTGGATGTTCTATTGCATCCTGCCAGCGAAGAGGCTGCTTGGGCCGCGAAGCCAGGGACGGCTGCCTGGAGGAGGTGGCCTTTGAGCTTAACTTTAAAGGGCGGGGAACAAGGCCCCGCAGAGCTGGGCGGCGGTAGCGGGTAACATGTATAATTTATCACAGCGTGTCACAGGGTCACCCCTAGCGACAACGCCAATCCCTCGCGTTTATGGCTCCCTCTATAGGACACCAAGAAACTTTCTTTCGGCAGCTCAGTTGAACCCTATCCCTTCAAGACATCCTGGCCAAGCACGTGGGTCTAAAGGAGCTACCCGTTTCACGGAGGAGGAAACAGGCCAGGCAATAAGGAGACCCAGCCCGGGACCCCTCGGCCGACGACTTGGCAGCGCCGGGATTCGAACCTCCCGCCCGCCAGGACGCCCGCGCTCCGTCCCCGGCACGCGCCCCAGCCCTACCCGTTACCCTGGAAACGGCCCCGCGCACGCGCGCGCGCACTGCTGCCCCTCGCTCGCTCTTCCGCTAGCACCCTCGTTATTATTTTTAATAAAAACCCAAGGCGGCGGGATACCGCCAACGGCTGAACGTGCCGTCGAAGGACGCCGCTACGTCCGCTCTCCGCCCCGAGCCGCGGATCCCTCCGCCGCCCGGCGGCCTGCGCGCTTCTTCCCAACTCCAAGCCCGAAACGGCTTCCCGCGCGCCGCGCTGCGCCCCACCCCCACCTCATCCCCACCCCAACCCCCAGCCCGGCTCACCTGCCGCCTGCGTCTCCATGGCAACGCCCACACCGCGGAGGAAAAAAAAGCCTCGGGCTCTTCCGGGCCCCCTCCCGCGCCGACCGAGAAGGCGGGGCGCCCCGCTGATGCTTCGCTTTTTATTTTTATTTTTTTAAGAAAAGAGCCGGCGAGGTTATGGCGAATCTGCGGCATCCAACATGGCGGATGGAGTCTTCGCCCTCCTCTTCACGGGGCGCTGACGCCGGCGTAGCGGACGTCAGCCTCGGATGACCCTCCCCCAGCGCCGAGCGCGGCCCGGCTGGGCTGGCCTACTGCGCATGCTCCGGGCCGGCGGCCGCGCTTTGTATCCCGCTCCGCAGACTCCGCCGCTCCGCGTTTTGAGCCGCTCCTGGGAGGGGGGCTAACGGGAGGCCTGGAATGCGGATTGCAGGATTGGGAGTCTGCCCAGTTCTGCGGGAGCCAGCATGTACCTGCCGGCCAGTCCTTGGACCCGCCTGACGTGGAGCCACCCGGCTGGAGAGTTCAGGGTTCCTGTCCCAGTTCTGCCCTTTACGAACTAATCTGGGACAGCGATTTAACTCTTCTTGGTCTCAGTTTACCAGTTTGTCAGTCGGGGTGGTTACAGCCTGGCTCACTCTCAGGTTGCAGTGTTTCCCGAGGTGGGATGCTCTCCGCTGCGGGTACCCGACGTGCCTTAGTGGTACAGAGAATTACACAGCCTGGAGCCCCCCGAGAAAGCGATTGGCTTCTCTCCGTCCTCCTTGTCTTGCAGAAAGTCTCAGTTGGGTGTGAGCACGCCTCTGACACTTGCTCCTTTCCCTGCTCCTGGCTCACGCACAGCCTTCTGCAGGCAACAGTATCTGGTTGACACGGACTGACCTTGTCTCCGTTTTTGATGTTAAGGTGGTTAGCTCTGCCAGTTCCTTCAGATCTGTGCTCAGATGACACCTCCAAGGGAGCCCTTCCGACCCCCCCCAAACAAAGTAACCCTCCGAAGTCAGTTTCTATTTTCTACGTGGTATCAGTTACTATTGGGCATTAATGTATCTCGATCGCTTACCTCTGTCGGTCTTGGTCACCTCTTGAGCTGCAGAAACTAGAACTGAGCCTGAGAGCTATTTATTGAAGAAACTAATGAGTTTGTGTTACTTGTATTTTTAAGGTTATCCTGTTTATAACAAATGATAATGTTTTTTTTTATTTATGATAGTAATACAAAGTTTTCTTTTTAGATAAAACTTATTTACATTTTTTAAAATTAGCTTAAAGAAAATGGTATACATGGTGCAGAGACAAGACTGAAAAATGTCAAAGCAAATGTCAGTTGAGAAGTTTGGGAAACAACTGATTTATTTTTGTGGTTCCCCTGACATGTTGCCTGTTGTAAGACTTTTCCTGGAATAACCTCCTGTCTGTTGCTGCTCTGTTGAGAAATTCTCCTTCAGACAGCCTTGAAGCTCATGGCTGGGTGTTCCCACAGTTCTGCTCGTACTTGCCTTGCCCGGTTCCCCACATCGTTGCATTTATCTGTTTGCACAGCTCTCTCCCTGTGAGCTAGACCATGAGTTTCTTGAGCACAGAACAAGTGTGCACATACAGGTCTTTTTCATCCTGTCTTCCCAGCTGCTACTGCACAGCAATATTACCCAATGAACACATGCATTTCCATTGTCACTTGTTTTTCAGTAATAAAACTGCCATGGACATTGATTGAGGTTTCCGATGACCCAACTGATTTCTTGGGAGCCTTTCTGCCCTGCACCTTAACCCTGTTCTTGGGAGATAAGGAGTCATTATAAGACCCAAAATTTGCCCAGTCCATTAAATATATGTTCGGAGATATCTCCTCCCCTGCCCCCTTCATTTCATCCTCATTTAAATGGGACAGATACGATTATCATTCTTGTCTAGATGAGAAAATGAATGTTCAGAGAGGTTATGTGGCTTTCTAAGATCACACAGCAAGCCAGTGAAGAGCCAGGTGTCCAGCTGGTCTCTGCATGGCCAGTGTTCTTCCCACTTTACCACATCACCATCCAGGATGTGCCCAAACTACCCACCACACCCCTAAAAGAGCCAATTCCAAGACAATCATAGGGTAATTGCTACACACCCACCACATCCCACATCACAAGATGGATGGCGGGGAAGAGTCCATCACAGTCTGTCATTTGGAAATGAACTGCTCAACAAGATGCATTGATGAGCTTTTCCTTTTAGGACCATAAATGTTTACAATAATCACTATTTTGCTGTGAATCGATTTCCATCAGGAAGTCGGAGCTGTGCTGGGTTGCTGACAGTATTGGTTTTGTGCTGGGTTGCCTTTCGTGCAGCAGCATTTAAATGTTAGTTATTGATTAGCAGGTGGATTGCTCCTGGATGGTACGACCAAAATGAATTTTGGAAATGAAGCAATATAAATTTGTCTCAAAACCCAATTACCTCAGAATATTAACAAAGTCAAATTAAAAGAAGGAATTGTGGACTAGGAGTGCTGGTCCTGGGTTAATTATTTGGACAGCTATAATTTTCTCAGTTATTCCCATGGCATTTTCTTCCTTCTCTATCCAAAGAAGAGTCACTGAGCACCTATTATTCCTGAAAACTAGCCTGGCCATAGGCAGGGAAATGACTAAGAGATAGTCCCTTTCTATGGGACCAGATTTGCAAATGGAGAGATGAGTCCACCTCTGGCTCGTTCATCCCTTTGCTGAGTGGTTTGCACATTTTCAATGAGTAAACCTCTATTCTTTCCATTTGCCGGTAATATTTCAAAATGGCCTTCAATTAGTGAAGAAGCACTAGTGGAATTAAATATAAATTGCTCAAAATTATATAATTAATGGCATCCTGCTTCAATGATAGCTTGTAAAGGAGATCAGCTTCCCAGCTGGCCCACTGGTGGTGGTTAGCCTCTCACAGCCAGCACGTGAGTGAATTTATGTCAATACGTTTATCAACATGAAATGGCGTTTACTTATATAGTAAAGAATGCTTTTACATAATTGGACATATTTGTGTCAATAATTTTATAATTATATCTAAGAGCTTAATGACAAATATACATTTACATGAAAACAAAATAATTTATGTACATAATTTTATAGGATGCTTTCTGGAAAACAGATTTTGATAAAGGATACATATGGGTGACCTCAAAATATTGGGCCTTAAGGCACACAGCAATGACAAAATCAACAGTAGGGACAATCACAGTCTGAGTGAAGTGTTCAAAATCCAAATAGGCGCACTGGAGAGAAAAATCCATTTAAAATTGTATAAAAGGGAAGGGTATAGTAATATCAGAACGATATGAGCAATCTCACTGTGAATGTAATTATGACCTTAGGAAGCAACATCTTTTCTAGTTCTGTCTTTTCAGAGGCCATAGAGTGCCATCTCATCACAATCCGCTTGTACCCTCAGCACCCAAATATTGATCTCAATAGTAGTTTTCATTAGCGGTAGCCAGGGCTCCTTCAGAGAAGCTGAGTCCGTGTTTGGGAGCAGGGGAAAATCAGCATGGCCTGAAACAGGTTGCTATTGCCAGAAAACCAGGACGCTGCGCCAAATGCTGGGCTGTTGCTGAAAGGACAGAGGAGTGAGCTGAGAAGGGAAGGGGGTCCCTGTGGTCAGGTGTGACAACGTGCATATCACAAAGAATAACTGTAGGTCTACAGTTGTCGATGTACGAGAACAAGCCGAGTCTAAAAGCCATGAGTCCCTAACGATACAAAAGGAAAAGTTAATATTATGTGTAGTTACAAAGCAAGTTGTAATTCAAAGAAAGGGCAAAATATGATATTTGAGTAAATAGGTAAGTTTGGCATATATGGGGTTCTGTTTCTTACTTGGACTTCTTTATATCTGTTTATGAAATGGTACATCTGTATAAATTGAGAAGAGCAGATACGTTTCCTATGAGTAAGTTAAAGATTTCCAGAAAGAGTAGTAACTGTACCGAAACCAGGAAGGACAGGTTGAGACCAGTGGTCTCGTAAATAACCAGGTAGAAAGAGGGCTCAGTAATTGGTGTTGCCAGTTAATGGATTAGCCAGATGTCCTAGGAGAATGGCTGATAGATTAAACTGCTATATGGCCCTGCTAGTTATAATGAAATGCTAACAATGCATAGTGAAGTTAATTGTAAACTGAAGCAGAACATCATATACCCAAGATGTAATGTACATGGAGGTAAAGATTGCAAGAACTTGCTTATAAGTTCTGTTGACATAGCCGATGCAACAGGTCTAGGAGAGGGCACCCCCACCAGCAAGTGCCTGTGGCCATTCGAGTCCCCTGGAAGGATTCTGTGTTCCAACCAAGAATCCATCAATCAATGACCCAGAGGCTGTGATTTCAGTGCACCTGGGAAGGAGATAATCTTTCTCTTTTGGGTCTGATGTTGCAATCCTGGGAAAGTACAAAAGTAAATTTTATAGAGATAACAAAGAAATTAGTCAAGCCAATAGTTATGCTTTTTACAAAGAGGCTTAGGTAAGGGTGCAGTAACTTTTGTGTTTTTAAGGTGTTTGAAGCATTCAGGAGACATTATATTACACTCATACTTATGTTGAAATGGGATAATTTGACTAAGTGGGTAAATGTTTAAGGAAATTTGATTCATAAGGTTTTAAGTTTTTATTTATCAACTGTGTTTAAATAGTTTACAAAAAAGTTAGTAGATTCATAAGTATAATAAATATTCTTTAAACCAACTACAAGCAGTAGTAACTGGGCCGTGTAAAAAGAAGGGGGGGTGTGGGTGGCCTTGGATCCCAGCAACAAGGAGGAAAGAACGGGAGGGCTGCCAGAGGCAGCAGAGTGCCAGGCCCACCGCAGGACCCAGGAAACAGTTATTGAAGGAAAGGAGAGGGAGGGAAGGATGGAGCAAAGGATGAACATGGGGGTGAACTCAGTAGGTAAGGAGAAGGAACAATGCATAATTAAACATCTATTTTGTGGCTGTTGTGTGAACGGCACTGTTTGAGATGTTCAGAATGGAGGAAAAACAGATTTAGAAAAAGCACAGGCATCTGAGTGTCCATGAGTAGAAGGCTGGTCATCCAAACATGGAGATCCCATGCGGCTGTTTCAAAGAATGAGGCTGATCTGTGTGTGGAGATAAGGGGTGTACACTAAGATACGGCACTGAGTGAAGGCAGCAGGGTGCAGAACAGTGTATGGAGCACACTACCGCTTGTGAACAGTTTCTATAGGATACACGTGCATGTGATTATATACACACAGAGAATCTCTGAAACTGGTTAGAGCAGACAGCTTTGGGGAGGGTGTCTGGGCATGGAGATCTGCACTCACAGATCTGAACATGCTTTAGAAATAGTTGAATGTTCTTCCCTGTGCATACGATGCCTTTTCAGAGAAGACAAGAAGGTGGGGAGGGAATGTGGAGGACCAGCTCTGGGTTCTGGTCCTAGTTCTATTCCTCAGTAGCTGTATGACTGTGGACAAGTCACTTATTTGCACTGTGCTTTCTTCCTGTGGGCAATGAAGG